TAGGGAATTTAGTGAAGCTTATAGACAAAAGCAATGGGTATATATTTGCTGGCATGGATGCAAGTGCAGTTGAATTTAGCAAGATTGCAATTGGTCCTGTTGATTGGGATTATTATAGATATCCTTTTTTCTTTTCTCATGTGACTATTCTGATATCTTGGGATGATTTACTATAGAACGTAATCAATGTCTCATTACTTGCACTATTGCATTGCATAACAATCATTGTTCATTGCTTTACATGCATATAGTGTTTCATTGCTTTACAATAGTTTTTAAGTATTAATTTGATTTTTGAGCTTGCTAATGCTGTAGTCTTAAATAGTGTTCTGATAATCATGCATGTACCAATTATTTTGCATGATTTCCTTTTAACATTTTCCTGGTCAAAGGCTTGATTGAATTCTGAGCTTCCCTTAACTCAGGAATCTACAGTTGCAGCAGTGCAAGAGAAGTACATGAAGGATGATGAAAATATTGATGATAATGAATAATGGGTAAAAGGTAAATAATTGAAAGAGAATGACACCTTGGTGAGTAATTTTACTTTCTTCATTCACTGTTAAATTGATTTCGTTTTATTGTGATTTGTGAAACCATGGTGAAGTCTACTTATAGCTTGTGACTCCCGTTGCAGATATTGCACAGGTCATTTATTGTGAGAGTTTGGATTTTCGTCCTTATAGTAGTGAAGATCATGAAAACATAATTGAAGCAGGGGATCTACTAGTTAGTTTCATGATATTAGCTAATTCAGGCTTCTCCAACAGCCAAAAAGTCAATTTCCAGTTTTGGGCTGACTTTGTACTATATTATAATTACAATCCTACATCTTGGAGTTCCGAATGAGATCTTTGTTTGTTCGTTGAAGTTGATTCATGTTAAGTTAAGCATCAAGCGGAGATGTTTTCGCTTTGATAGAGAGTTGTGTTTGGGAACCAAGTAATATCTATTTATTCGATTAAAGTGAATGGCATTTTGTAAAGTTTGTGACCAATGATACGTTTGGTTTAGGAAAGAAAAACGAAAGAAGAAATAAAACGAATTTAGGTTGTTTTGTAATGAAAGGAAAGAAAGATGAAAATTTATATTTACTCATTTAGTTGGGTAGAAAGTGAAAGGAAACAAAAAACATATAGTTAAGGATATTTTGATAATTCTATTAAAATTGTATAGAGGAATGTTCCGTTGAAATTTCTTTTGTTCCCTTCGTTTTCTTTGAAAACAATGAGGCTTAGAGTAATTTCTTATAATTTTAAGAATAAAATGCAAGTTTATTAGCATCTTTTCACTTTTGAAATGGCAGCATATAGTTGAAATGCCGCGTGAATTTATTGTGCTATATTATGCACACGTCTTCCATCAGAAGTCGTGAATAGAAGTTAATAAGAACATATGTTAAAAACTTAAAATTATGCAGTTGACTGTCATGAAAATGCTGAGATGCTTCAGAGCACCTTGTTTCTTTAAGCATGTAAAATAAGAAAATGTTTGGTGTTCTGACATTGAACATGTCAAATGATTAGCGTGTTAGTTTTCAACCTATATAAGAGAAAATTTCAATTCATTGAATTTTCTAAGGGTTTGAGAATTTTTTTTCCAACTATACCAGTTTTCAACCCCCTGTATATATAATTTACTTCGAATTTTTATCCGAAAAAATTGATGAAAACACAACTTTTTTTCTTTTAATCACCCAGTCTCTCTTTAGATTAAAGTTCAGTTTATATCAGTTTTTAATTTATGATTGTTATTCAAGAGTGTGTTTGATAATATATTTTAAAAAAAGTTTATAACCTCTTTTTACTAGTTTATAAATTAATTTGACCAAAATAATTTTATTTGCTACGCGGGCTTATTTTTATAAATTAATTGAGATACTTAATAAATTCTTTTTTCTTATTCTTTTTTTAATTAATTTACTTGAAATTATTTTTTTACTCTTTAATTTAAAGATCATTTTATTTGCATCCGATTATCTAACTCACATTATTAAATAAATAAATATGTTATTTTAATTGATTTTATAAGTTAATTTGAAGACACTTTCAATTTTAATTTTTTATTTTACATAAAATGTTTTTCTTACATAAAAGAGAAGGAAGACTTCGCTATCGTCAAACCCACAGTCCAACACCGAAGACACGTGTATGCACGTGAACTACTGAAATTAATATATATATATATATATATATATCAATTTTTAATTCATCCTTAAAAAGATAAAAACATATTGTCCATACATGAAAGGTTGTATCCACGCTTAAGCAAGGTCAGGGGATTTGAATCCTGCCTTGTGTATGCAGTCGCGTTAAATCTTGGGGCCAGCTATCCCATCCTTTGAGGTGCCTCCAACGTAGCAAGGAGATTAGTCACTGCTGTCGGCGGTGAATACTCCAGGGACGAACAAAAAAAATACATGAAAAGTTGTTCTTTTTTGTCCATGCTAAGAGAAATATTACTTTGTTTTCCGCCAATTTCACTTCCACTCCAGATTTTAGGAAATACATTTCTACGAAACACAATACACGAAAAACGTATTTTTTTAATTGTTTACAAAATTTAAATAATTGATGTACTTGATTTTGATGCTTTACCATTAAAAAGTTTGACTGTCATAACTATAACTTTAAAAAGTTTAACTCTATGGTATTTCCGTTAAAAAAATTCAGTCCATAATTAAAATTTAATTCCTTTTAAATTCAAGAGTTCACTGAAATGTGATTGTATTTATTTATTATATACACGTGTGTAAACTAGACTTGATGTAACATTAGTTATTGATTGAAACTTAAATTAATTTTTTTTATCAGTAAGAATTATAATAACGACTATCCAATTTAGAATCATCTGTATATTTTTTTTCATTAGCAATCCTTACAATTGGACCAAACTAGTGGTTCTTGAAATAATTGTTGGTTTTAATCAAATTCAATAGACTTAATTGTAATGAATAACGAATTAAGTTGCTTAGATTAGTGGTATATTACATGGATATTAGTCAGGGATTTAGCGGTAGGGGTTAATCCACGCTTAAGTAAGGTCAATGATTCAAATCATACTTTGTGTATGTTGCTACCGGTCCTATTACTTCATTCTTTTTTAATTGTTGAATTTTTAGAAGAATTTTATTTTTATTTATTTGTCATTTTCAAAATTTAAAAAATATTAATTACATTATTTTTGTCATTATAACATTACTTTCTACCTAAATTTTAATTAGTTCACAGATTTACAACTAATATGTATCTATAATGGAGTAAAAATAAAAAGGGTATATAATATGGGACTTCAAAACCATGTTATAAAACACAGAAATATTTATTACATTTCAATTTGTGTATTAAAAAAGAACTAAAGTAGTATTAATGTAGAATTTTATAAATATATATATATATATATATATATATATATATATATATATAAATAACACACTATCTGTTTGTTTTTTTTTTATTTGT